TTATTCTTTTTAAAGTTCGATAGCAAGGATCGATCTCTGGTTATATGCTTCGAACAACCGCTATCCAAGAACCATTTGCTTCTTTTTTTCTTCGGTACCTACAAGAATAACTCAAGTTTTGATTTTGGTACCCATACGAACTTGGGTCCTTGGTAGTTAGTTTTTGTGGATTCTCGATCCAGTTATACTTTTTTTCGAAATAGAGCTTCTTTTTAGCTAGGCAATTAAAGGCTACATGTCCACTTTTGTTAGAAAAACTATATGTAGTTTTGAAACTTCAACAAACATATTTTTGAAGGATTTTTGTTTTAAAGAGGGTTTATATCCAATTCATCTTTTATCAAAAATACATTTTTGACTTCCGAGCATTAAATCAAAAATTTTCTTTCCCTCGGTGAATTTATGAATGATTTTCATCAAATCCTCCACTTTTTCTTGTAAGGAAATATTTTCCTTAATAAGTAATTCATGATCAACATTTTCTTTGCTTTTCCAAAATTTTCTTAAATTCATCCTTTAACAAAGAAGTATTATTTTTAAGAATAAAATGACTCAAGGTAAGTTTTTCAAGAATTTTCAAGCATTTCATCATATGAATTTGATAACTAGGAACATTTTTCATTCAGACTTACCTCATCTTCGATAGCCACGAAACACATGTTGTCAACTTCGTCTTGGCTATCGTTCTCATTTTGTTCCTCATCATCACTATCATCCCATGAAACTTGAAGTGCCTTTTTCTTGAAATTTTTCTTTTTGTTTGGGCAATTAGTTCCTTTATAATCGGGCTTATCACAATCATAGCAAATAATTTTCTTTCTTTTTTTTCGCCCTTTTCCTCATTCTTTTGAAATATTTAATTATTACGAAGACCTCTCCATTTTTTGATGAGAAGAACTAAGTCGTCAAACTCTTCATCCCTCATATTTTCATTTGAAGTTCCTTCATCAATTTTCGATTTTAGGGCAATTTATTGTTTGGGAAGCTCTTTTGATTCTTCCTTGCTTTTTCTTATTATCTCCTTGACCTTGGCATTATTGAGTTCATAGGTCATTAATGTACCTTAAAGCTCCTCCAAAAAATATGTATTTATATTTTTGGTATTCTCGATCAACATCCTCAACGGGCTCCATTCATTCAACAAGGACCTAAGCATTTTGCTAACAAGTTTATCATTAGTAAATTTACGATCAAATCCTTTAAGACCATTTACAATATCAATGAAACATGTAATCATATCACCAATAGGCTCACCTTGTTTCATTAAAAAAATTTCAATTCTTTAACCAACAAATTTATTTTTGTTTCCTTAACCTTACTTGTGCCAACATGAGTGACTTCAAGGACATGCCAAATATCATATGCTTATTCACATGTGCTTATTTGATTAAATTCATTTATATCTAGTGCACAATAAAGTAAATTCTTAGCCTTGGCATTTAAAGATAATTTTCTCTTGTCTTCTTCATCATATTCTTCCTTGGATTTAGGAATAGTTTGATATGATTTACCATCTATTTTAATAGTCTTGATCGGAACATATGGACCGTATTCAATAACTTCCCAAATATTATAATCAATTGATTGAACATATATCATCATCCTAGCCTTCCAATAATTATAGGTCCCGTTTGGTAGCTATTTTTTTCAAAATGCATTTTTCTCTCTCTTCTTTTCAACTACACATTCTTTATTGAAATAATATTACACGTAAATAAAAAAAATTTCCTTATTTCCCAACCACACATTCTTTATTAAAATAATATTACACGTAAATAAAAAACTTTTCCTTATTTCCCAATCACACATTTCACATCAATTTACTATTCTAAAATGTATCTTTACATAAAGATGCCTATCAAACACCCCCATAGTTTGTGCCATCGAAGAAAATAGGTCGGTATGTGCAATGCCCCTTAAGATTTTGAAAAACTTGGTTAGCCATTACTCAAGATTGTAAAATCTTTTAGAAATGAGTGCCAAACTTTGATACCAATTGAAATCCTGAGACCAATTAACCAAGATGAGGGTGAATTTGTTACTAAATCTTTTTTGAAAATAAATGCAAATTTAAGCAATTACCAAATAAAATAATATGCAAGCAAGATAACACAAGAAAGATAACAAGTAGAAGGGAATAGAAGGCGCAAACAATGTGAAATGGAGGTTCGATTAAAACTACGATCTACGTCTCTCGTTATCAAGCTCTTCCTCACGAGCAATGCCTTTTTACTATTTTGAATTGACTTATGGTGCAATCCAACACTTATAACGCTTTCGGTGACTTACAACCAAGAAGCAACGATCCTTTTTACAATGTTGAGTTTTTTGTGACCTCAACATGACCCACATTCCAAAATAAGAAAAACAAAATTAAAGTAAAAGCTTCTCTCTTAATAAATGATATAAACACAATTAAGTATCAAGAGAGAAGTAAGTACAACACTTTAATAAATTGCAAAAGAGCATAACTCAAGTGTTGGTTGAAAAACTTTAATTGAGATAAATGATTTTTGCAAGTTTAGATCACTCAAAAAGTTTTTTGGGAATTAAATGATTTGATCTTTTAAAGATTGAAAACTAAGGTAAAAAAGATAGAAAACTTTGTTAAGGATGGCAACTAGGCTGAGTCAAGTGGCCTTCCTCGGCGATGTTCCTTTGAGGATTTTAAAAAGGTTACGTTTAATTATATTTCATTTGTTAACATTTTTTATTTTTAAAATACAATTTAAATTGAAATCATAAATATAAAATAAAACAAAAAGATTCGAATTGGGGACCATGGTTCCCATCTTTATGTCTTTTACTATTTGAGGCGAGACAATACACTGCAGGTTCAAAGGGAGAAATTTTCATTTCTAGACTTCATTCTTTAGGTACAATGGTACATTATGAACATGGACTCAATAAAACCTTTGAGAATCCATTGTAGCAATATCACTAAAGCCTGTTGATTTCACCAATGGAATTAGTCGTTTGTTTCAGGTCTATGGACCACCGTAATAACCCTCGATAGTCACTAAGGCTCTTAAAGTAGAAGACGAAAACATTCGAGTATCTTTACATTCAATATCTAGCAGGTGGGATGTTTACCAACTGAGCAAACTCTCTAATCCTCTACGGTTCACCGAACAATGTCTCAATAATTTACCAATGAGACAAGGATTCATTTGTGATTCCATCTTCATAATCATCTCACGAGACACGAATTAATGGGAAAGATGATTCATAAGGCACAAGATTCGCACACAACCTTGTGACTTCTCATGAATTCATTGTGCAACTAGCCTAGAAAGGTATATAAAAACAAACTCTACGTGACAAGAAATCTTGGCATCTATGGAGAATATTTTTTTTCCTCCTGAGCCCTAGACAGAATTGAGAGAAAACTACTTAGGGGTGGAACCAGAAAATGATGGTAGGATGGGCTGAAATTTAAAAAATTTAGAATGAATTCACGTTACAAAAAGCTAAACTCATATGACATTCATGGCAAAGAGTGTGCAACACTCAATGAAATAGAAGAACTCTAGATGTTTCACTATAAGATGTCCCACTAGAACTTTTTATACATTAAAAAATATAAACTAACTGAACCATGATCGAGATAAGCAAATGATATATATCCACCAATGAAAAATTAAAAAATGCTCTGGTTCATTTCTCTCGTCATATTCGTTTTTCTCTTGATTTTGAAAAAATCACTCATATGATATTTTTTCTAATTCAAGATATTTTGTTGATTTGTGCCTCTTAGAATTGCTACTTTTTATCTCATTTGACAAGTATTCGACCGATCTTTTGAGAGTGTTTGATGTCGTTCCTTGGTTGATGGAAAGTTGAAACTTTTTTTTGAAGCCCATGTTGAAGTTCCTTTTTACTAGACATCGGATGTCCTTTTTGTACTCACACAATGCTCTCCTCATCTCAATAGTCAATATCGGTTTTTTCATCCCTTTCAAATGAGATGCCATTTATAGGTGTAAGAAGTATTACAAAGTTAGTTAGAAAAATTTTGAGTCTAAGACTAAAGTTGATGACGATTATATTTATACAGATGATAATCAATGCGTTGCATGTAACATCTCGAAACATTTGATCTTCTACAAAATTAAATTTTGAAAGACTTGATCTCTATGGAGTTGTTTAGTATTTTGTGTATGTGATGATTTGATGTACACATTTAATTCTTGGCATACTATGTTTGTGCATACTAACTTCTATGTGCATCGAATGTAAAATTCTTTTTAAACTAATACTTTTATGAGGAAATTACTTGAAATGTCCACTTTCACATGTCCATTTGTAAAGATGTCCACTTTCATAAATCATTGCAAAAATGTCTATTTTGAAATATTTTGGACCAAAATACCCCTGTGAACAATTTATAATTCCACACAAAGATAAGAAATGAACATTTTTGCAAAAAAATTATTGGTCAATAAATTTTTAACATATAACCTGTCATATTTATTTCAAAAGTGCACATATTAAATCACAATTAATACTATTTTTCTCATTGACACAGAAAGATCGAGAATTACATTTCAAGTGTAGAGAAATGTCATATTCGGAATGAAACGTCATTCTAGATATTTAAAATGTCGAGAACAACTTTTGAAATGTTAAGAATATTTAATATTGTGATTTGATATGTGTACTTTTAAAATATAAACGGAAATTAAATATTGAGAATGGCATTTAAAATTTTGAAATGTCGATAATATCATTTTAATGTAGCTTCTCATGGAAGCTACTTCTCGAAATCCGCAACAAATTGAAAAAATAAATAAATTGCTTCTTTTTTTTCATTAAGGGTAAAATAGACAATTTAGTATTAAATTTAAAATGTGGACATTTTTCGATTGACACCGATGAAATTAGACATTTTTGAAAATATCCCTACTTTTATTTTGATTTGATTTTTGTAACTAGATTTGATAAACAAATGATTTTAAATAATTAGAAGAAATACATTGAAAGAATTTCATTTTCAGGGAGCCTACCAATTTGTCTTGTTGACGCACGCGAAAAAAAATAATAATAATAAAAATTATTTGTCTCCTCGTCGGATTCTCCAAAATTCCCCAAATCTACCGTTCAAATCGCTCTCTAAATTGATCGAATCGAAGGAAGAAAGCAATGGAGAATTCGGGCAGCTCTGTGTCTTATTGCGAGAAGATGGACGGCGTGGCTCGGTGGTTCGGGACGAGCGTGGCTGCGGCGTTCTTCGCCTCCCTTGACCGTTGCTCCTGCGTCAACCTCGCCACTAACGATACAGACGATGAGGACGAGGAAGAGGCCAAGGACCGCCCTCTCATGCTCGCCACCCTCAACCCTATCAGCTCCACCTCATCCTCCGCCGCCATTTCTAAAGTCAACAATCCTCCTTCCTCCGTCGAGAAACTCCCCGTCTGATCATGATCCTCCATCTGTCGATGATCGGTAAAATGTTTTATATACCCATTTATATGTATGATAACAGTGTATATGTGGCTACTGAATTTGTGTATCACGCTTCTAAAATTGAATGGATTATCAGTAAGTTTGAGATGTTGAGTTTCAATTGATCGTTTGGTCCTTATGAGAAATAGGGCATTTTAATGTGACTGCGCAAGGAAAGTTTTAGTTTTGCTTTTGTGGTGGAATTTTTGTCAGCTTATGTTGTTGTTGCTCGATATCTTGTTCATACAAGTATTCTCATATATTACATGTCTTTTTTTATGGTTGTATATAAACAACCAATTGTATCAGGAGATTTAGGAGGAGCTTTTAAGGGGAGAATGATTTTTAGGATTTACATGTAAAATTGTAACAGATCTATTAGTAGGTGCAGCTATTGTAACAGATCTATTAGTAGGTGCAGCTAAGTGTAAGCTTGGCTTATGGGTATATAAGCATTTTTGACACTCCCTTTACTAAAGGGTGAGTTCCACCACCATATACTTGTAACATAGACCATGCACTCTCCTAATAATGACCTTTGTTTCTAAAGTAGAAAACTGGCTACATGAAATCACACAACTGGAAATATTGGTCATTGTAGACATCGATCCTAAAAAAAATGTAACGGTTGTATTGAGTCCCTACTTACTCATCACTAAGTTAAAATTTAGCTTGTAAGCATTTAAGCTAACGTGGCATGCTCTCATCAGAAGCTAATGGTGAGTTTACTCAATGTGCTTGTAACATACATGTACTGATCATTGGGAAAAAATATTTGAAATTGAAGGTGTTTTATGTCATTGTAGACCTAATTTATTTTCAGAGTATATAAGATATGTTATGAGATGGTGAAACTTGAGTTGCATTGTGACATTATATAAATAGAGAGTATCAATGTGATAAGCCTCCAAATCAGGTAAACTTATTCTAGAAGGACCAAGAAGATTGAGGAGGAGTCGCAGCAACAGAATTCTGGTAGCAAGGCAGGCTGATGTGGACATGCAGAGGAAGTAGGAAGGAATGAGGAGGCAAAACTTAGAGAGTAGAAATGTGGTAGAGGAGAGTATTAATCCTTTCAAACTGCTAATTGTTATTACTTTTATTGCTATGATTTTCCCTTATTTCAATCAAATAAATTGTTTTCGTAATTCTCTTAGATCCTTTCCAATTACAGTTTAAATCCTATTAGTATCAAGGCACGTTTATCCTAATGGCCCAGATTAAGATAGAGAGCAGGGTAGAATTAATGGAGAAGGAAAAAGAGGGATTGAAATTAGAGATGCTGAGCTCCTGGATTGGAGCAACATGTGGAACACCTTACATTGAGCATGGCAAAGATGTAGTAATTAATGGAAGAAACCCAAAAGAATATGACCGTTTTGATTCTACCTAAGGCAGCAATGAGCAAGGTATTGGAAGGAGATGGATTGGAAAGTGTTATGGAAGGGACCACCTCCTAGTGTCCACCGGGGACCCTTGATGAATCAATGAGCTCAAGACACAGGAAAATGTCTGGAAAGAACAGGGGAGGCTAGCAGTGGGGGAATTACAGTCGCTTTCGATCAAAATAGAGATGGTAGTGATTGGCAGCAAGTTTGGAAGCTCGAGATGCCTGTGTTTAGCGGAGATAAACTAGATTGGTGGTTGTGTAGGATAGAGAGAAATTTCTCAATGAATCAGCTGTCGAAGGTAGAAAAAGTAGAAGCCATTGTATCGTGTTTAGACAGCAAAGAATGGGCATCTTTCAATTGATAGATCATCATCGATCCATACAAACTTGGGAAGAATTAAAGAGTCTATTGCTGGATCGATTTTGTTCCTCTTAAGAGGGTGCCAATTGGAAATTCTTTCCACTTCAAGAAGGCATAAGTCTTATTTTCTTCTCCAGAGGATGTTTTTGAAACATGAGTGTCGTCGAACAAGTAGGAGAACATGAAGATGTCAGCTAACAAAAGGGGTAGAAAAATATGTGAATGGGCTGACAAGTAGGGTTGAAATTCATACGGTAAAAGCTATGGGTCTAGTTTTGAAGATGGCCCAACAAGTGGACAGCGAAGATTCTCTTAATCAAGTCCACCGTGGGATAGACCTGAATAAAGTAAAATTAAATGGCCTAACCCCAGAACCCATCAAATTACTCCAATTTCAAACTCTGCCAATCCATCACAATCAGGTGATGACTTCAATTAGATCCGTCTATTCCAAAACAAAATTTCACTAATTTCAAACAGCCTTCCTGGGTTCAATTCCAAACAAAGATGGATAGAGGATTGTGCTATAGATGTGATGAAAATACACAGTAGAAAATCAGTATATTATATGCACGTTTTGGTAATTAGTGATTCAAGGGTGGCAAAGGAGGAAGATGAAGCCGAGGAAATTTGAGGGCTAAACAATGTTGTAGAAATCTCAATCAATTGAAAGATGGGTGATGGAGATCATGACAAGAATAAAGATAGATATATTTCAATTAGGATTTGATAATAAGAGTTTGATTCCAAATATATTCAGTCAGGTTAGATTACTTTTGATATTCTGAGATAATTATAGTTTATTAAAGGTTTGTTTCCTTTTTAACTTTTTTTTAGCTCTATAAATAGAAGGGCTTATTTATTATAATTCCTAACTTGATTATTTGAATAAATATTGATTTCTCTTTGCCCTCAATTCTTCTCTTCTTGGACCCCTTTTCTTTTTTAATCTTCGATTTTTCTTTAACAAGTTATACTCATCCTGAATCAATTTAGTATCAAAGCAATTCGTTTTCCTTTGGCCTAACATCCTTTATTCTCAAATTAAAAAAATCCACCTACCGTTTTCATTCCCTCCACCTATACCCTATCGCCTTCCACCACATATCAAGCCCTGTAACCATCAAAATCATGTAACCTTCTCATACAAATAAAAAAATCTTAGACAACACAAAATACAAGAATTCGTATAAAGAGCAGCTGCAGTAATTTTTAAGTTTCTTACTTCCCAAAAAATCGAAAAAATAGCAATCAATTCATTCATTAGTTGTTGTTAGATGTACAATATATGATAGGAGAGTAAGGTATTTATTATTCTTTATTACGTGTCTTATTGACTCAATTTTCAAACACATTAAAAAATGAGTTTTTGAACATTCATATAAAGATAATCGATTTGACTGACCATCATACTTGAATGAAAGTTATATTTTCAATGTAGAAAGATTATTTCCTTATTGGTGTCCATTCAAGCAATTGATATTGCAATCATTTTTTTCTACATGTCAGTCTTTAGTGTTAGTTTCTTGTGCTCCTCTCTTTATGCACAATCAATTGAAGGTTTTACGGAGTTGCTTTTTGGAGCCCCCTATTGATACTTGTTCATAAAGAGAGATCTTCCCCCTTGGTTAGATCATTTTATTGGGGATTATTTACGGATTCAATTGATATCACATGATTAGTCCAAATATTTGGATCTTAAGAAAGACTGCCCTCCTTGGGACAAGTTTAGATATATGTTATTGTGTAGAGTTCGGTATAGATATTTTACTCAAGACAAAAGATAGACCTTGGAGTATCAAGTTTTAGCCTACTTCGTTGGAGTTGAGTTCTCTCAGTTAAGGAGAAATGATGGGGATCATGACAAGAATAACGATAGATATATTTTAATTAGGATTTAATAATAAGAGTTCAATTTCAAATATATTTAGTCATATTAGATTAGATTACTTTTGATATTTTGAGATAAGTGATGCAGGATAAAGGAGGCAGCGAGAAAGTGGGAAGAAACTGGAGAGAATGGGGGAGAAATTGAAGAAGAAGCTGAAATTCAAGGGGAAGGGAGAGGAAGGAGATGTTGGCTGCAAGCCAAAACTGATTTCAATTCATCATAATCATTAACCGTCCCAACTACACCGCAAACTAAATTTAAATAGCAGAACAATACCCTAAAAAACCTCTAAAGAGAAAGGGCTTGGGTCAAACTCTTTATACAAGCCCAATAAAATATAAAACCTAAATAAATAGACATAAAACATACAACAACAAAGGATGTCCGCATCACTATAGTTTATTAGAAGTTTGTTTCCTTTTTAACTTCTTTTTAGTTCTATAAATAGAGAGGCTTCTTCATTATAATTCATAACTTGATGATATGAATAGAAATTGATTTCTCTTTTCCCTCAATTCTTCTCTTCTTGGACCCTTTTCTTTTCTTAATCTTCAATTGTTCTTTAACAAGTTATACGCATTCTGGGTCAGTGGGTCTCGCAACTTCGAGGACTATGGATTAACAACCCAATTAAGCAACCAGATTTTATTGTTATGTTTGATCATAGGGAAACCCTCTATTTTATTCAGAATACCCGGACTCTAAACTTTGGGAATTCCTTGTATAGGTCCAACAAGTTATGGGGTCTTCATGGGTACTATACTTATGGTATTCAAAACCAGGAAGATGGTTACATTTTCCGATCGAGTGATGGCTTTGGACGACAAGATGGAAAAAAATTTAATTCGAGTTACAGAATAGGCTTAAAATGATTAGATTTGATTTCGGCAAGATTGAGATGAAAATTTCTATGATGATGGAAATTTTTATGAGAATTTCTTTTTGCTGATTATTGGGGGGTTTGGACCTGCTGCCAGTGTCAGAAAATTGTGGCTGAGAAAAGGAGGAAAAGAGGTGACAAGGAATTATGGTTTGTAGCTGTCATGAATAAGGTTGATGCTCAGGCTGCAAAGGTTGAAATGCAATGTGTGGTGGTGTATAAATACAAATTGAAGATGGGGTGGGGTAAATCTGTCTCGATTCCTCCCCAAGCTCTTGCTGCTTCGCCTTTTGGACATATAGCCTTTAGTGGCAAGGACGATACTGATAAGATCCTGTTGAAGTTGCTGCAGAACTTGGTATGAATCCTGCTGTTGCTGTTCAATCACAGAATCAAGTGCAGAAATGAAGACAGAAACCAAAACACAAGGAGTCACTTGGAAAGCGTAATTGTATTTCTGTAATATGTAAATAGTACTCTAATGAAGAAGCTCTAACAGATGAGAATTGCAGCAACTATGTAAACTCTCTGTATCTCTATTTTGTTAAATAGTAAAAGATAGTTGGGTATTCGGGAGACCCAATACTCTCCCCTAGAATCCTAGATCATTCTCAATATTTTGCATGCCTTTCCCATT